GTGTGTGTGTGTGTGTGTGTGCGCTGTGTGCATGCGTGTGTGTTGACAGTAGTGTATGGTGTGTGTGCTGTGTGTGCACGCATGTGTGTACATGTGTGTGTGGTGTATGCATGTGTGTGTTGACAGTAGTGTGTGTGCTGTGTGCATGTGTGTGCATGTGTGTTGACAGTAATGTGTGTGTGGTGAGTGTGTGTGTGCTGTATGTGTGTGCGTGTGTGTGGTGTGTGCATGTGTATTGACAGTGTGTGTGCTGAGTGTGCACGTGTGTGTGTGGCATGTGCATGTGTGTTGACAGTAGTGTGTGGTGTGTGTGCTGTGTGTACACACATGTGTGTGTGTGTGTGGTGTGCGTGTGTGTGGTGTGTGCATGTGCATGTTGACAGTACTGTGTGTGTGAGTGTATGTGTGTGCTGTGTGTGCACACGGGTGTGTGTGGTGTGTGCATGTGTGTGCTGACAGTACTGCCTCTGTGTGTGTGTGCACACGCCCCTGCCTGACAGTACTGTGTGTTGCACGGGACGGGCCTGTGTCGTTCCGCGGCACTCCCAGCACCCACAGAGGTATGGGGCTTAGGTGGGCTCTTCCTTCCTGAAGAGCCCTAAGTGAAGGGAGAACCTAGGCCGTCCCTGGAGGGCAGGTATGGACCCGAGTCCTTCAGGGAGGGGAGGAAGAACAGGTGGGGCTCAGCCTTGAGCAAAGGCCCTGGGCCTCTGGGGCCGGGTGAGGCTTGGGGAACAAAATGACCACATTTAAATTTTAGGAAGGTTTTCTGGCTGCCCTGTGGACAGGAGGAGGCCATGACAGCCAGCCGTCCGGAAGGGGACAGTGGCAACACAGGCAGGGATTTGGAGGTAAAATTGAGAGCCCTTGCTGGCGGAAGGATGTGGGGTGAGGAAGGGGGTGGGGCTTGACATTTCTGTCTGGGAACAGTCACCCAGGAGGCAGCTGGGCCAGTGCCTGCCAGATGAGCTCCAAGGTCTGGGGTGCCTTGGGGCCATGTGCTGGGACGTGGCTGTCCCTGAGTGAAAGGCAGTGACGCACACGGGGGACGTGGCAGATGGATGATAGAAACAGCAGAGCCTGGAAACACCCCGAGCCTAAGAGAAGAGTGTGTGTGTGGGGGGGGGGCGTGCAAATGAAAACCAAGGGAGAGGCCTGATAGGAGACCTGGAGCAGCTGGAGTCCAGTGACTGACCACCCGAGAGGTGGCCTTCAGTGTGGAGTGCCCATTGTGGCACAGCTCAGACCAGGAGTGCTGCCGGACTCAGGACCGAGATTTGGTTTGCTGCTGGAAGCACCAGCCTGCATGTGCAAAATCTGGGCATTCTTTACTTCAGTGATGTTCTTTTTTAACTTCAACCCACAGTGGCACATTTCACAGGGTGGCCCAGGGTGCACACCCACCTGGACACATAAGTATATAAAAGAACATACCTCCAAAGAGTCCTTCCCCTTGCAACATGCTGTGCAACCTTATTTTTTCATTTTATTATTTTTTTAAGATTTTTTAAAAAATTTTATTTTTAAAGAGAGAGGGAGTGAGAAACATTGATGTGAGAGTGAAGCATCGATCGGCTGCCTCCTGCACACCCCCTACCAGGGATCGAGCTCACAATCCAGGCATGTGCCCTGACTAAAAATCGAACTGGCAACCTTTGGGTGCACAGGAAGATGCCAAGCCAACTGAGCCACATCGGCCAGGGCTCTTTCTCATTTTTAAAAACTGCTGTGCAGTCCACTAAATTGATTTCACTGAATCATGGTTTGAAAAATGCAGGAAGGAAAAGGCACAACAGGCGAACACCAAAGCTTGGAATGAAAATCACATTAGTTCCTTAACAGTCTATGAGGTCACTAGCGGACGTAAGTGTTTAAATGTGGCTGGTTACTAAGGCAAGCCATCTTCTTGAGAACAGGAATAGTTTTAAGGGTCGAGAGTGAAATGAGGAAGGGCCCAGGGCCCTATTTCTAAGAACTGACAGCTGGGGAGTCATGGTCACTGGTGCCAGCAGCAGGCTCGGGGTGCGTTTAGGGTGGGAGGGGAGGGCCCCCGTGGGAAACAGGAGAATAACATTTTCAGAAGAACAAGATATCAGGAACACATCCTACACGGGGAGCAATTTCATCTTGCATCTCCCAGAGGTGAGTAGGCCCAGGACCTGGACACCTGGCCTTCGGCAGATTTAGGAGTGGCCATGCCCATGCTCATGTCACTGGATTTTCTGCCCCCACCTAGAAGACCATAGCCTTCCTGGTGTGACAGTTTGGTAAAAGGTTAGGGCAGAAGTCCAGTTTCTGCCCAAGCAAAGGCCTTGGGTTTCAGTCAGCAACCCACCCACAAAGTGGAGGAAACATGACACACTGGCAACATAGTTTCTGCTACTTTTCAGTTACACATTTTAGCTACTTTGTAGCTCCAAGTCTTTAACCACCGTGTATAATCCAGGCCCATGGATGGACCTACCACGGCAAAGATAATCACAGCCCAGTGCCCCTGACTATAGCGATGTGAGATGTGGATTTCAGAGATATGAGCCTGAGACACCTGCACTAGGAAATCTGTGAAATGTAAAAACCGCATGAAGCTGTACCTTTGAAGCCCCAGAGGGTGGCCATCTGGTGGCAGCCGGGGAAGCTCGCGCTGCTAGACAAAGTGGCTGTCCTCGGAGCTCAGCACTCCTCTCCTGTTGCCGGTGTCGCTGCTCACACTGGGGGTGGGTTGGACCCAGGAGCCGGGACAGGAAAGGAGCCAGGCAGAGAGAGCAGCCTCAGCGGGACAGCTAGGCGAGACCAGGCCGGGAAGGAGAGGGGTGCTGCCCACAGGTGGGAGAGGCTGCTTTATCCAATGAGGGCTCTTGGGGGCCTTCTCCCCTCTGTTTGAAGAGAATTAAAATCCCATTACATCTGTCCTGCCCAGGGACACCTGTAGGTCCGGTGGAGCACCTGGGCCCCCAAGAAAGCCTGGCTGGCCACGAGGCAGCCTGGGGAGGGGAGGGCAGTAGAGAGGGGAGCAGGAGCTCAACCCCAGGCGTAGACAGGACGGCCAGAGCCCCATTCGGTCCCTCTCTCCCACCAAATGCTAAGCCCCCAGAAGATACAGGGGTGCATGAGTTGTGCACCCCACTGTATCCCTGGCAGAAACGCAGCCTGCCCAAACATAGCCTCTATAAATATTTGTTGAGTGAATTCAGTTCCAGACTTTGGTTTTTCTCCGAACTGAGGGGCCGGGCATCTGACGACCCGCGTGGCTCTAATACTGCATCCTTGAATCCTCTGCTGCCCACAGAATAGAGGGAGGAGGGGGAGGAGAGACGAGTGGTTCCCGCAGGCTGTCTGCTCCAACGGGCCAGGGCTCCGGCAGGCCAGGGCGTCCCTCCAGCAAGCTGCCTCGTTTTTTACCTCCGGGCATTTTTAAATTAAAGCTTTATCTCCAGGCAGAGCGACGCCATCCCTGTTCACTTCACTTTCCTACTCTTGAGGCCACAGGAGTCACCATTCCTGGTGGGGATTCACTTTAACCAGCACCCTTCCCTCAGCCCTTGGGGACCCAGGTTCCCTGGCCTCCTGCAGGGAGCACCAGGTGGGAGCCCAGAAAGGGATCCAATTTTCTGTCTGCAAAATTTCCTCATAAAACAAATATCTATACAGATTCAGTTTTCAGGCCAGCTAGTTTTTAAAAAACAAACCATTAGAACGGCTTCAGGCAGGGACTATGTTGAGCAGAGGCCCTTAGCTGCCAGGGTTTCCCACTGCCGTCCACCAGGAGGCCCCTGCCTGGAGCAGGGCCGGGGTTACATCCACGGTCTTCTCAGTTTGCAGAGGAGCCCTCCTCGCAGCAGGCCCGCTCCACGCCACACTGCCCCCCCCAGCCTATTCTCAGGTGTGCGGCCCGCAGGGCGGAGTCCCCGGGCACCTTCTCTGAGTGCAGGCTGCTCCGCCTGCCCCAGACCTGGGCCTGCATGGAGACCTTTTTATTCCCATTAGTTTGTTTTCATCACATCCCCACGATGTTTTAAAAAACAATTGAAGTTTGAACCTTTAGGCCGCCTTCCCCGCGTGGCCCACCCCCACCGCCCGCCTCTGGCAACCACCAGCCTGTTGTGTCTGTGGGTTCCTTTGAGTTTCCAGGTGTCAGCGAGAGCACACGGCGATTCTTTCTCGGCCTGACTCCTCACTTAGCACGGTGCGCCCGAGGCCCACCCAGCAACACCCACGTCAGGCTCTGGAGCCTGGACGCCGGGTCTTGCCAACTGACTGGCACGATAGACAAACATTCCGTGTGCTTGGAAATGAAGATATGCTTTAATGTATTTTCGTTTATTTTACAGTTTAACTTAAATCTAGAATACTTAACTTTTCATACAAACTTAGGTATTAAAAGAGTCACTTGCTGTTTTACATAAAAAAGGTTCAAAGCAGATTTCATCGGGAGGGCTCCAGACAGGCACCCCACGCAGTGTGGGGTGGCAGCAACAACGAGGGGGGTATGAACACCCCCCAACCCGCAACCCCCCACAGTAATTTTACTTAGGTTCAANGGGTATGAACAACAACGAGGGGGGTATGAACACCCCCCAACCCGCAACCCCCCACAGTAATTTTACTTAGGTTCAAATATATTTTTTCCAATACAGTTGCCCCTAGGATTTATTCCTAGGGGTTGAAAACCTCTCTAGGACAGTTCTCGTAGCAAAGAGTGAAATGAAGTTTACTCCACTCAGAACTTGAGCAGCGGCGACTCCATGTTTTCTTTGTTGGCCTCGGGGCTCAGCTGGATCAGAGGAGAGCACAGATCTATCAGCTGCCGGAGAGAAGTGGCGGAGGTGAGCGGAGCACCCCTGTGCCCCGCCCCAGCCGTACACTGTACACCGGGGACTTTGTTTACTGAAGCCTGGGCTACCCAGGAGCCACCCAGCTGTGGCTCAGGCCAAAGCCACTCAGTAAACCTGGTTCGGGCACACTGACATCTCAAGGGCCACTTGAGGGGGAAAATGCCACCCATTGAAGCACTCGGTCCATCAAACAGCCATGCTCCCTCATCACACACGGCACCAGGGACCCTGGAGTAGAGGCGCTGTGACCCCAGCCCTTGGAGAGCTCCCGGGTTCCTGGGCAGGATCCTCAGCGGGACTGGAACCCTGAGCTCTCGCCACCAAATATGAGGTGTGCACGAGACATGTTACCTTAGAAGCCTCAAAGGCCACTCTCTAGGGTCACTGTGATGTCCCAGAATCAAGGAACAAACCCAGAACAGAGACGACCCAAGGCTGAAGCCACATGGGCCCTCCTGCCGTGCCTCACCTGTCCCACCTCGCGGAGCGGCTTGGGTGCAGTGTTTCTGTCTGTGTCTGGGGTGTTCACCAGGAGGTCGATCAGAGGCCGACTTTCAGATCCCAGGGCCACGTTCGCCTCTGGAGTGTTGCCAAAGTCAATGAGAGGGTAGTCGGCCAGGGGCGAGCCTCCTGCCTTCGGAGTGATGCGAAGCTGATCCAGCTGGATGTCCACAAGAACAGCCTGGACAGGAACACAGGGTTTAGAGGCGATTCATGAATACTTTTACCCATCGTCTTGGGAAAACAGGTCTTGCTGTCCCAGGGGGCCAGCAGTTTGGAAAATCACAGAAGGAGGGCAGGGATGGGCTCTTGGTGGGGAGAGCTGGCTGCCCTATGCACCTCCCTCCTGCCAGTGGCCAGCCCTGGAACTCCCATGGACCCCTCCCTTCTGCCCTGCTTCCCCTATGTCCTGTGAAGCCTGCCCTCAGTCAAACGGGCAGAGGTGTGGCCTTTTCCCCCTCCAGAGGCTGCAGGTGCCAATGGCCTATCTCTGGCTCAGCTGGCCCTGGAGGCCGCATCCCAGGATGGAACCCTGCAGGGGCGACCCCACCCGCCCCGTCCTGAGTTACCACGTGGCTTCCAGGCCAGTTCTGCTGACCCGATGAACAGGAAAGCAGTCTATTTCCTTTACCTCCTGGGGGACCGTCTCCTCGGGTGGCTGTTCCTCATCCAGCGCTGGTTCTGTGGGGAAACTTTCTGGAACAGTGACATCACCCTTTTCTGGGGAAAACCGGAGAGCCTGCGGCACCGCAGCCCGAGGAGAAAAGCTTTTGTCAGGCGATACTGCAGAGCCCCGGGGTGCGGCCTGGCTCCTGCCTCCACTCCCTGGAGCAGTCCTGCAGAGGAAGGAGGGAAAGTGGTGAGGAAGGTCCTGTGCAGGCCGGTGTTGGAGAAGGGACCACAGTGGGGAGCACCCTGCTCCGTCAGCACTGATTTCCCAGGTCCCATCAGCCCTGAAACTCTGCCCTTCTGGTGTCAACAGCACCCATTTTACTCCCTCTGCTTAAGGCTATTAAACAGGAAGAAAGGAGCGAGGTCACTTGGGGAGCTGGCCTCCGTCCGAGACTGCAGCCCTGCAGCTTCCCTGTGCCGGACATGCCCACCCACCAGCCCGGGAGAGCCCCTGGGCCGTCCCACAGCCGCTGCCTCAGGAGGCTGGCCTGGCCTGACGCCCGGACAGGTGGGACCCCCTCGTTACACACTCCACAGCAGGGCCCCCCGGTGACACCGCCCCCTTCCAGGGCAGACGATGCTTTGAGGACTGTTTCCCGATGGCGCAGTGCGCACCGGCCACCTGGCTGCCCGCCCAGCGGGCCCTCAGACTGACTTGCATGATGAAACCACGGAAAGTATTTTCCGTAAATTAATACACTATATTCTTTTTAATACTTTAAAGGTTTTATAACAACCTGAAAAAAGAATTTTTTCCTCTATTTACATGTAGAAACATACAATGTACTTAAGCGGGTCACTGTAACTGGTCACACACTGGGACGTCCGTTTGTGTGAGCACAGCCTTGGTCCTGCCTCGTCTGCTCCCCCCCCATCTAACACACACGCTGGCCGCTGGCCGTGTCCTTCCAGGCTTCCCTACTCTCACAGGGCTGAGAGACATCTGCACACAGATAAATACACGCGACACACACGCCTGCCGTGGGCGGGTGCAGAGTTTCACACACCAGGACCTCTTTCTCAGCCATCGTTTCTTTTACAGACACGGGTCCCGTTCCACGCCCTCCTCTGCACCCTCTCGCTCAGGATTCCTATGGAAACGCCCGCAGGTTAGGGGGTACAAGGCTCACCCAGGCCTCTGCCTGGTGACCTAACTGCTGGCTGGTTTCCAGTGGTTGCCGCCAGTGTCTCCAGCTGCCGCAGGCATCTCTGTGCCTGAGCTGCAGTCTCATGGGCGGCAGGACCGCTGGGGTCAGAGGTGTGTGTAGCTGGATTTTTTTTTTAATATATCTTTATTGGTTTCAGAGAGAGGAAAGGAGAGGGTGAGAGAGCGAGAAAAACATCAATGATGAGAGAGTCATTGATTGGCTGCCTCCTGCCTATAATCCGGGCATGTGCCCTGACCAGGAATCGAACCCCAATCACCTGGATCCTAGGTTGACGCTCAACCGCTGAGCCACACCCGGCCGGGCTGTAGCTGGATTTTGACAGACTTTCTGAACAATCCACCGTAATTTCCGTTTCCACCAGCTGCGTCTGGAACACCTCCCCCACCCTCCCCAGCCCGGAGGAGCAGGGCGACCTGTAAGAGCTGCCTCCGAGCTTCTGATTAGCGTGTCCCTGGTGTGGTGAGCCGGGCGCCTGAGGTGACTTCACACAGACAGGCAGCCTCCCCAGCACCGAACTCACTGGAGGCTTCGAGCTAACAAAGACTCACTACGGCCTTTATTTTTCTCTCACCTCACTGCAGACTTTCTCCGGGGCTCAGAGGAAAGTCTCCGAGCAGATGCACACAGGGGAGAAGCCAGAGTCCTGGGCATGGTTTTAGGGGTCACCCATGGAAGGCCGGAGAGCCGACGGCTGGCAGGTGTGGGCAAGCAGGACATGCGTTTGGTGCTCACAGGGGTCCTTGGGGCCAGCCCTGAGGAACACCGAGCAGGGGTGCTGTAGACGACCCTGGAAAGACAGAACCGGGATCTTAAGTACATATGACAGTGGAAACACCTAGCTATTCAGCCAACATGCTAACACAGCAGGAAGTCCTACGTTTCAACACAACAGAGTCAAGCCAGCAGCGCCCATGTGGGCTGCTCCCCGTGGGGCTGCCCCTGACCCTGTACCCTGGCGTGGGCCTGGTGACTCCTTGGGCAAGGCCCTGCCTCTGTCCTCACAAGTACCCATCAAGTGTGACCACACTTCACAGGTGGTGGCAGGAGAACATGCTTCTCAGGAGGTTCAGAAGAGATCTGTGCTTCACTGGCACAAATACTCCCATAGGACACCCTGACCCACAGCGGGTCGCTGGGCACACGTGGACGTGCAGGGCCACTGTGTGCTCATTCACTCCCAGGCTCACAGCTGTCAGAGCCAAGTGAGGACACAAGTGAGTCACCAGGGCACCTGTTCCCCAGGCATATCTCCTTCCCTCCCTGGCGGTGCCTGTGGCAGCAGCTCTGAAGGCGGCTCCACTGGGTGGCCTGGCGGAGAACCGCCCCGCAGGGGGCCAGCCTGCGCCTAAGTGAACTACGGTGGAGGTAGAGGTGACACTGAGAGACAGGGGCAAGGCCCGGAGGCATGGCCGGGCCGTGGGGTCCCCGTGTGTACGAGGGAACTGCGAGAAGTCAGCAGGTGCGCGTCTGTTTATAGTCATGTGGCCCCTTACCTCCCCGCCGACGCGCAGGACTGCGGCCTCTGTGCCTGAGAGAACCTGGGCGTCGTGCTGTCTGGGGGTTCACCTGAGACAAGAGAAGAAGCATGTGGCTCGTACATCGTTTGGTGCCAAACAAACTCATTAGGTGCACAGTGAGCGGCTGCACACGTGTTGGGCGAGACGCCAAACTGCCGAGTCGGGAAGTGCTGGGAAAACTGCCTCTGCTCACACGGCTGGGACACACTCACATGGCTCACACAAGTGGGACACGCTCACACGGCCGGGACACACTCACATGGCTCACACAAGTGGGACACGCTCACATGGCCAGGATATGCTCACATGGCCGGGACACGCTCACATGGCCGGGACACACTCACATGGCTCACACAAGTGGGACACGCTCACACGGCCAGGACTCACTCACACAGCTGGAACACACTCACATGGCCGGGACACGCTCACAACCCAGCAGCCAGCTGGAGGCCCTGGGACACAGCCTACTCAGCAGAGACTGGGGGAGGCCACACGTCAGCAGCAGGGCCGAACTGCCCCAGAGCGAAGGCTCTTTGAGACTTGTGCCACTGCAGCTCGAAAAGAGGCCTCAGAAGGAACTAACTGTCTTGAAGTTCACTGCCTGCCACAGCAACATGCAGCTCCTTAAAGACAGACAACCCAACCCAGACATTTGGAAATGTGAAATTTCAATGTCTGGCAGACAATAAAAAAGTATTAAACATGCGAAGAAGTGGGAAAATTGACCTTAACCAGGAAACAGACCCCAGAATGACAGGGAGGATGGGATTAGGAGAAACAGGCCTTGAAACAACAATTATAAACATGTTCAAGAATTTAAAAGAAAACACAAACACCATGGGGACAAAAATGGGGAAACTAACGTAGGGAATAAAAAATTAACCAGATAGGCTCAGCAGCAGATCAGACGCACACAGAAGAAAGATACCTGAACCTGAAGACAGGACAGTGTTAGCACAAGAGAAGGGCTGGAAAAAGGGAACAGAGCCTCGCTGACCCGTAAGACAGCACCAAGAAGTCTGCTACACACGTGCTTAGAGTCTCGGGAAAAGAGGAGAAGCAAAATAAATATCTGATTTTTCCAGATTTGATAAAAAATATCCACCCATGGCCCTGGCCAGCGTGGCTCAATGGTTAGAGTGTCAGCCTGCTCACTGGAGGATCACGGCTTCGATTCCTGGTCAAGGGCACGTACCTGGGTTGCAGGTTCACTTCCCACCCCTGGCTGGGGTGTGTGTAGGAGGCAACCAGTCCATGTATCTGTCTCACATACATGTTCCTCCCTCCCTCCCTCCCTCTGAAAAGCAATGGAAAAAATATCCTTGTGTGAAGATTAAAAAAATAAAATAAAATAATAAAAAAATCCACCCACAGAACAAAGAAGCGAAGTACCCTCAGGCACGCTAAACACAAAGAAAGCCACAGTGCAATTCGCATGATCCAAGTGCTGAGACAGCAAGAGGAATCCTAAGAGCAGCAGGGAACAAGGTGCTGCCTGGAGGGAGGGGTGCAGGATTAGACACCCCNACTGAAGCCTGGGCTACCCAGGAGCCACCCAGCTGTGGCTCAGGCCAAAGCCACTCAGTAAACCTGGTTCGGGCACACTGACATCTCAAGGGCCACTTGAGGGGGAAAATGCCACCCATTGAAGCACTCGGTCCATCAAACAGCCATGCTCCCTCATCACACACGGCACCAGGGACCCTGGAGTAGAGGCGCTGTGACCCCAGCCCTTGGAGAGCTCCCGGGTTCCTGGGCAGAATCCTCAGCGGGACTGGAACCCTGAGCTCTCGCCACCAAATATGAGGTGTGCACGAGACATGTTACCTTAGAAGCCTCAAAGGCCACTCTCTAGGGTCACTGTGATGTCCCAGAATCAAGGAACAAACCCAGAACAGAGACGACCCAAGGCTGAAGCCACATGGGCCCTCCTGCCGTGCCTCACCTGTCCCACCTCGCGGAGCGGCTTGGGTGCAGTGTTTCTGTCTGTGTCCGGGGTGTTCACCAGGAGGTCGATCAGAGGCCGACTTTCAGATCCCAGGGCCACGTTCGCCTCTGGAGTGTTGCCAAAGTCAATGAGAGGGTAGTCGGCCAGGGGCGAGCCTCCTGCCTTCGGAGTGATGCGAAGCTGATCCAGCTGGATGTCCACAAGAACAGCCTGGACAGGAACACAGGGTTTAGAGGCGATTCATGAATACTTTTACCCATCGTCTTGGGAAAACAGGTCTTGCTGTCCCAGGGGGCCAGCAGTTTGGAAAATCACAGAAGGAGGGCAGGGATGGGCTCTTGGTGGGGAGAGCTGGCTGCCCTATGCACCTCCCTCCTGCCAGTGGCCAGCCCTGGAACTCCCATGGACCCCTCCCTTCTGCCCTGCTTCCCCTATGTCCTGTGAAGCCTGCCCTCAGTCAAACGGGCAGAGGTGTGGCCTTTTCCCCCTCCAGAGGCTGCAGGTGCCAATGGCCTATCTCTGGCTCAGCTGGCCCTGGAGGCCGCATCCCAGGATGGAACCCTGCAGGGGCGACCCCACCCGCCCCGTCCTGAGTTACCACGTGGCTTCCAGGCCAGTTCTGCTGACCCGATGAACAGGAAAGCAGTCTATTTCCTTTACCTCCTGGGGGACCGTCTCCTCGGGTGGCTGTTCCTCATCCAGCGCTGGTTCTGTGGGGAAACTTTCTGGAACAGTGACATCACCCTTTTCTGGGGAAAACCGGAGAGCCTGCGGCACCGCAGCCCGAGGAGAAAAGCTTTTGTCAGGCGATACTGCAGAGCCCCGGGGTGCGGCCTGGCTCCTGCCTCCACTCCCTGGAGCAGTCCTGCAGAGGAAGGAGGGAAAGTGGTGAGGAAGGTCCTGTGCAGGCCGGTGTTGGAGAAGGGACCACAGTGGGGAGCACCCTGCTCCGTCAGCACTGATTTCCCAGGTCCCATCAGCCCTGAAACTCTGCCCTTCTGGTGTCAACAGCACCCATTTTACTCCCTCTGCTTAAGGCTATTAAACAGGAAGAAAGGAGCGAGGTCACTTGGGGAGCTGGCCTCCGTCCGAGACTGCAGCCCTGCAGCTTCCCTGTGCCGGACATGCCCACCCACCAGCCCGGGAGAGCCCCTGGGCCGTTCCACAGCCGCTGCCTCAGGAGGCTGGCCTGGCCTGACGCCCGGACAGGTGGGACCCCCTCGTTACACACTCCACAGCAGGGCCCCCCGGTGACACCGCCCCCTTCCAGGGCAGACGATGCTTTGAGGACTGTTTCCCGATGGCGCAGTGCGCACCGGCCACCTGGCTGCCCGCCCAGCGGGCCCTCAGACTGACTTGCATGATGAAACCACGGAAAGTATTTTCCGTAAATTAATACACTATATTCTTTTTAATACTTTAAAGGTTTTATAACAACCTGAAAAAAGAATTTTTTCCTCTATTTACATGTAGAAACATACAATGTACTTAAGCGGGTCACTGTAACTGGTCACACACTGGGACGTCCGTTTGTGTGAGCACAGCCTTGGTCCTGCCTCGTCTGCTCCCTCCCCATCTAACACACACGCTGGCCGCTGGCCGTGTCCTTCCAGGCTTCCCTACTCTCACAGGGCTGAGAGACATCTGCACACAGATAAATACACGCGACACACACGCCTGCCGTGGGCGGGTGCAGAGTTTCACACACCAGGACCTCTTTCTCAGCCATCGTTTCTTTTACAGACACGGGTCCCGTTCCACGCCCTCCTCTGCACCCTCTCGCTCAGGATTCCTATGGAAACGCCCGCAGGTTAGGGGGTACAAGGCTCACCCAGGCCTCTGCCTGGTGACCTAACTGCTGGCTGGTTTCCAGTGGTTGCCGCCAGTGTCTCCAGCTGCCGCAGGCATCTCTGTGCCTGAGCTGCAGTCTCATGGGCGGCAGGACCGCTGGGGTCAGAGGTGTGTGTAGCTGGATTTTTTTTTTAATATATCTTTATTGGTTTCAGAGAGAGGAAAGGAGAGGGTGAGAGAGCGAGAAAAACATCAATGATGAGAGAGTCATTGATTGGCTGCCTCCTGCCTATAATCCGGGCATGTGCCCTGACCAGGAATCGAACCCCAATCACCTGGATCCTAGGTTGACGCTCAACCGCTGAGCCACACCCGGCCGGGCTGTAGCTGGATTTTGACAGACTTTCTGAACAATCCACCGTAATTTCCGTTTCCACCAGCTGCGTCTGGAACACCTCCCCCACCCTCCCCAGCCCGGAGGAGCAGGGCGACCTGTAAGAGCTGCCTCCGAGCTTCTGATTAGCGTGTCCCTGGTGTGGTGAGCCGGGCGCCTGAGGTGACTTCACACAGACAGGCAGCCTCCCCAGCACCGAACTCACTGGAGGCTTCGAGCTAACAAAGACTCACTACGGCCTTTATTTTTCTCTCACCTCACTGCAGACTTTCTCCGGGGCTCAGAGGAAAGTCTCCGAGCAGATGCACACAGGGGAGAAGCCAGAGTCCTGGGCATGGTTTTAGGGGTCACCCATGGAAGGCCGGAGAGCCGACGGCTGGCAGGTGTGGGCAAGCAGGACATGCGTTTGGTGCTCACAGGGGTCCTTGGGGCCAGCCCTGAGGAACACCGAGCAGGGGTGCTGTAGACGACCCTGGAAAGACAGAACCGGGATCTTAAGTACATATGACAGTGGAAACACCTAGCTATTCAGCCAACATGCTAACACAGCAGGAAGTCCTACGCTTCAACACAACAGAGTCAAGCCAGCAGCGCCCATGTGGGCTGCTCCCCGTGGGGCTGCCCCTGACCCTGTACCCTGGCGTGGGCCTGGTGACTCCTTGGGCAAGGCCCTGCCTCTGTCCTCACAAGTACCCATCAAGTGTGACCACACTTCACAGGTGGTGGCAGGAGAACATGCTTCTCAGGAGGTTCAGAAGAGATCTGTGCTTCACTGGCACAAATACTCCCATAGGACACCCTGACCCACAGCGGGTCGCTGGGCACACGTGGACGTGCAGGGCCACTGTGTGCTCATTCACTCCCAGGCTCACAGCTGTCAGAGCCAAGTGAGGACACAAGTGAGTCACCAGGGCACCTGTTCCCCAGGCATATCTCCTTCCCTCCCTGGCGGTGCCTGTGGCAGCAGCTCTGAAGGCGGCTCCACTGGGTGGCCTGGCGGAGAACCGCCCCGCAGGGGGCCAGCCTGCGCCTAAGTGAACTGCGGTGGAGGTAGAAGTGACACTGAGAGACAGGGGCAAGGCCCGGAGGCATGGCCGGGCCGTGGGGTCCCCGTGTGTACGAGGGAACTGCGAGAAGTCAGCAGGTGCGCGTCTGTTTATAGTCATGTGGCCCCTTACCTCCCCGCCGACGCGCAGGACTGCGGCCTCTGTGCCTGAGAGAACCTGGGCGTCGTGCTGTCTGGGGGTTCACCTGAGACAAGAGAAGAAGCATGTGGCTCGTACATCGTTTGGTGCCAAACAAACTCATTAGGTGCACAGTGAGCGGCTGCACACGTGTTGGGCGAGACGCCAAACTGCCGAGTCGGGAAGTGCTGGGAAAACTGCCTCTGCTCACACGGCTGGGACACACTCACATGGCTCACACAAGTGGGACATGCTCACATGGCCGGGACACACTCACATGGCTCACACAAGTGGGACACGCTCACATGGCCAGGATATGCTCACATGGGCGGGACACGCTCACATGGCCGGGACACACTCACATGGCTCACACAAGTGGGACACACTCACACGGCCGGGACACACTCACATGGCTCACACAAGTGGGACACGCTCACATGGCCAGGATATGCTCACATGGGCGGGACACGCTCACATGGCCGGGACACACTCACATGGCTCACACAAGTGGGACACACTCACACGGCCAGGACTCACTCACATGGCTCACACAAGTGGGACACGCTCACACGGCCAGGACTCACTCACACAGCTGGAACACACTCACATGGCCGGGACACGCTCACACCCCAGCAGCCAGCTGGAGGCCCTGGGACACAGCCTACTCAGCAGAGACTGGGGGAGGCCACACGTCAGCAGCAGGGCCGAACTGCCCCAGAGCGAAGGCTCTTTGAGACTTGTGCCACTGCAGCTCGAAAAGAGGCCTCAGAAGGAACTAACTGTCTTGAAGTTCACTGCCTGCCACAGCAACATGCAGCTCCTTAAAGACAGACAACCCAACCCAGACATTTGGAAATGTGAAATTTCAATGTCTGGCAGACAATAAAAAAGTATTAAACATGCGAAGAAGTGGGAAAATTGACCTTAACCAGGAAACAGACCCCAGAATGACAGGGAGGATGGGATTAGGAGAAACAGGCCTTGAAACAACAATTATAAACATGTTCAAGAATTTAAAAGAAAACACAAACACCATGGGGACAAAAATGGGGAAACTAACGTAGGGAATAAAAAATTAACCAGATAGGCTCAGCAGCAGATCAGACGCACACAGAAGAAAGATACCTGAACCTGAAGACAGGACAGTGTTAGCACAAGAGAAGGGCTGGAAAAAGGGAACAGAGCCTCGCTGACCCGTAAGACAGCACCAAGAAGTCTGCTACACACGTGCTTAGAGTCTCGGGAAAAGAGGAGAAGCAAAATAAATATCTGATTTTTCCAGATTTGATAAAAAATATCCACCCATGGCCCTGGCCAGCGTGGCTCAATGGTTAGAGTGTCAGCCTGCTCACTGGAGGATCACGGCTTCGATTCCTGGTCAAGGGCACGTACCTGGGTTGCAGGTTCACTTCCCACCCCTGGCTGGGGTGTGTGTAGGAGGCAACCAGTCCATGTATCTGTCTCACATACATGTTCCTCCCTCCCTCCCTCCCTCTGAAAAGCAATGGAAAAAATATCCTTGTGTGAAGATTAAAAAAATAAAATAAAATAATAAAAAAATCCACCCACAGAACAAAGAAGCGAAGTACCCTCAGGCACGCTAAACACAAAGAAAGCCACAGTGCAATTCGCATGATCCAAGTGCTGAGACAGCAAGAGGAATCCTAAGAGCAGCAGGGAACAAGGTGCTGCCTGGAGGGAGGGGTGCAGGATTAGACACCCCCGGCCTCGCATCCGAACGAGCCAGGGACACGCGCAAGGTGCCCTAAGGAAAAGAGCACGAAGAAATCGTCGTCACCAAAACCAGTCATTTTTAAACGTTAAATATAAATTTTTCACTATTCTAAAAACACAAGAAAACTTCTCTTTTACTCACCAGTAGGAAACTTGGGAATTTTAAACTGGTTCGTAGGGGCAGGCGTCCCCTTCGACTTGGAATTCAGAATGGAGTCTCGCCTGGCACTCCCAGCCCGGCTCAGCTGAGAAGATCGGGGCAAACTGGACTGAGCATTCAGCCTCGGGCCTCCCTGTTCCGGCGTCCGTGGCTGGGGGAGAGCCGGCGTGGCGGGTGCCGGGGGCGGCTCGGCTGCGGGCTCGGCCAGCCCGGGGCACCGGCTCT